GTTTTTTTTTTTTTTTTTTCTTTTTTTTTTTGCACTGGTTGCTGGAGGTTTGGGGATGGAGCCACGTGGGGGGTGTCGGGGAAACGCTCAGAGGGGTAGAAAACGTTTGGCTGGACACTTGTGCCAAGGGACCTTGAGCTGTAGTGTGCCAAGCCAAAGGCTACCTAACCTTGCATTTTAATAGTCCTAGGCGAGTTTCCCCTGCTCTGGGACCAGGCAGCTTTAATAAACAGGTTGCTTTTACAGTACGAGGTCAAAAGAGGTGTGGGTCCCTGGAGGACCCAGGACACGGGTCACCCTCCGAAGGGAGGGCAGACTGTAATGGGACCTGCTGTGCAAAATGTTAATAGAAGAGTCTCTTAAATAAGTAGAAGAAAACACGATCACGAACGAGTCCTCCCTCTCTGGGCAGCACTTCTGAATTAAGGAGTTGGCGAGCGTTTTGCCAGCTGATCTCACAGGCCACTGGGTTTTGCTGGACTCTAACCAGCCTCCCCCAATGATGCTTTCCAGCTTTTAATGAGATCGGAGGTTACCCCAACCTGGAAGAGGCCTATTTAAAAGCCATGCCGTCCAAGATTGTTCCCAACACTACCTGCCACCTGCCCAGAGCGGATGCAATGCACCTCTTCCGAGACCCAGTCTCTGGAGATCTGCCCTGGACCGGGATGACTTTCGGGCTGTCTGTCATGGCCACGTGGTACTGGTGCACCGACCAGGTAAATGTAAACAAGATTCCCCTGCCCCATGTAACATGGCGTTGCCTGGGTTCCAGGCACGCTCTACTACCGCTCTCGCCCTGGAAGTCCACCTTCGTCAGCGCCTAGTGGTCCTTCTGGCCGGTGGTCTCGGGGGGCTTCTTTTTGGAGTCAATAGAAGCACCCGGGGCTCCCGCAACTCTGTTCTTGAGGTGCTTGGACTGGGACAGTTTGGAGAGCGGGATGCCGAGGGGTGTCCTCATCTCCTCGGTTGTCTTCTGGCTTTCCGGCAGGGAGGTTAAGCGTTTGCTTGATACTCTGGGGTTGCTTGGTGAGAGGTGGCCAGGCTGCGTGGGCTTGCTGGGGCTGAAGGCTTTGCTCTGCCAGTAGGGCTGGCTGCCTGCAATGGTCTTTTTGGGTTTGGCTCCATCCCCTCTGTATTTGGTGGCCCCGGGGGGTTTCTCATGCGTCGGGGAGCAGGAGACCTCCTTGCCTTGTTCTCTGCCTGCGAGGTTCCTGGGTCGGTAGCGGTAGATGTGCGTCCCCTGTTTATTAAAGAGCAGAGAAAGAGATGAGCTACTGCTGTTGTAAGGATGCTGTTCCCCTGCAAGGACACCCCTTCACATGTCTGTGCCACGGACTTGGTCCTCATGGACAAATCCCTCTGCCACTTGGTGTACTCCCTTGCCCAAATTCTTCTGAGATCGGTGGCAGCTCAAAACTGCCTCAAGTCTTAATCAGAGGAGCGATGGTTTCTTGCTCTGGCAACGCACTGTCCTGCACATCGCAGCATCTCAGCAGTCACTTCCCAAGCAGCCCCGGCAGCCTGGAGGCTGTCCCGAGCCACGTCACTGCTGCCTGGAGATCCAGGACCAAGGACACCAGCAGCATCTCAGTGCCTTCTCTCCGGCAGCAGCCTGAACACCTGTCTTAATCACCTCAGCGCTCATTTCGGGCCCAAAGAGCATTCAGTCACCCAGACCCAACCTGTGGGATTAGGTGGCTACCAAGATTAGATGAAAGGATGGAGGGCTGGGAGAGGAGGTGGGATCAGGAGACAACAGTGAGCTGCAACACCATTGCGGGGGTGGCTCTGCTTAGCTAGGTTGAGAGATGCATTTGGATCGGGTCTGAGCACCATTAATCTTAATTCTGGACTGGGTAAGGCCTTAACGCATGGCTGTGGTCACCAGATATTTATCTTTCTCTTTGGGTGTGTCTGTGCCGCAATCTGGAGGTGTGATTGCACCCCGTGCAGACGTACCTGGGCGAGATTGGATCTAGTTGAGGGCAGGTGCTGATGGCAGGACGAGCTGAGGCTGGGAGGCTGCAGAGCCGGCTGCACCGACCTGCCCTGCCTCTGCTGCGACCCCTGCCGTGCCGCCAGCACTGCGTCTCCGCCGTGCTGTTGGCATTGTCTCGGTGTTCAGTCATTTAGTCCGAAAAGCCCAACGGCCTCTCTGGTCCTCAGGCAGACACCTCCTGCTCTGACCAGGAGGGCTGCATTGAAGCAGTAATGCTAGGTTGATTTAACTATATTGCTTAAAATCAGTGCTAAGGTCTGAGATGCCTTCAGGTGGGGAGGACTAAGGGTGATTTAACTCCTTTCTCTTCAAGGTCATCATGTGCCTGATGTGGTGCACGTGGTGACTGAGCCAGGTGGTGGGTCCTGTGGCTCCTGACGTGCTCTGGCTCGTGGGCAGAAGTTAAACTACAGCTTCCCCGAGCAACCCACCCCAGGAACCGGCACCTGGTCCCTCCTGCCCACCATGGCATGAGCCAGTGCTTGCTCTGGAGCAGCCAAATCCTGCTGGGTGCTGAGCGCTTCTCTGTAAGCCCTTGGGGAGAGTCTGGGCTCTTTTAAACTCAGCATTTCCTATGGATGTTGCCTATTTAAGAGAGATTGCCTCAAAGCCCAAGGGCTAGCTGTATCGTGGATGGACATGGCTTGGCCAGAGCTTTGAGGTGTGATGGTTTGAGCGGTGTTGGAGTTATGGTTGGAGGAGGCTGGACTCGGTGTCCCTTTTATTGTGGGCACTCTTTGGGGAGGAGATTGAATAGAAGGGGCGAAAGGGGAGAGGGTGGTGGTGGGGAATGGCGGATACTGGCAGGAGGACGCGCTGCTGTCGTTGCACTGGGCTTTTGTGGCGCTACGGCATAACACCAACGTGTTGCTGGTCTGGAGAGAAACCCAGCCCGTGGGTTGGGTACACATCTACGCTGTGTTTGGGCCCGATGCCCAATGGCTCCAGCGTTTGGGGATGCTTGGGATGCAGTTTGGCAAGGAGGAGGCTGATGTGGACTAGGAGGTGTTGGGGGCTGCTCAGCCATCCAGCCTGGCTCTCCCACAGGTCATCGTCCAGCGGTCGCTCTCTGCCAAGAGCCTGAGTCACGCCAAGGCAGGCTCCATCTTGGCCAGCTACCTGAAGATGCTGCCCTTGTTCGTTATCATCATGCCGGGGATGATCAGCAGGGTCCTGTACCCAGGTAAGGGCCCCGCCATGCAGACGCGGAGCTGGCAGGATGGGTATTTTGCCTGTCGCTAAGCGGTGAATGGGAGGGGGGTTTGTCTGGAAACCTCTGCTCTGCACAGACCTGGGGGTTCTGCAGGAGGGAGAGGGACAGGAGAGGACCTGAGTGTCCCCGGCGATCTCCTTGTGCCTGCTGTGCATCAGCCAACGCTACTCTCCTCTATTAGCCGTGCAGCTGGGTGTGAACGGGGTTGCATGTATTTAGGCAAGGCAATGCTCCAGGGATAACTTGGGTGCTGTGTTCTTAATGTTTGCCCTGAGCGAGCCTCCGCCTGCATTTTGGGCCACAATGGGCTACGGGCCAGCACATAAGAAACGTGGACCCAGAATAAAAATGTTTGGTGGGAGTTGATGGTGATTCCTGTCGGATTTGAGGTTTCTAGAGAGTTAATCAAGGATTGCTTTGGTTTATTATTTTTACACATGGGAGAAACTATTCTCTGCACGTTTCCATCAGCTGAGTGCTGGCTTTCCTAGCCCTGATGGCATGTCAATTATCCAGCTTTCATCAAAGGGCCAGAACAAGTTATTGCAGGAACACCAACGTACCTGGCCACTCTGAGCAAGGTGACACCCGAGACCTGGGTCACAGAGCATTGAAGGGCTCGGTGCTCCTTGCCCTGCACGGCTCCGCAGGGTGCGAGGGGATATTTGATGTGCGAGGAGTAAAGCCCTGCTCTGAGCTCCGTGTCACTGGCTGGGAAGGGAGAAGCGAGTGGACTCTGGGCTAGCAAATTTAATTCCCTATAAACACAGATTAGATGCTCAGCTGGGGTAACCTCAGGTGGTTTCAGTGATTTCAGCTGCTGATTTAGCCCTGGGGGTTTGAATGCCCCGAAAACAGTGGGTGGGGAGCCTTGAGAAACCAAAACGCTTGGTAGTAGTGCAAGAGGCTGCAGCGCTTGGGTGGAAATAAGGGATTGACCCTGCGATCCCCCTGCCTGGGTGGGGTGATGCTCCTGCCACAGCGGGGATGCTGGTGTGCACCTCGTGGGGTGACAAGGTCTGGCATCACTCGTGGGTCAGCCACGAAGCTGCTGACTGCAACGCTCGCCCACAGAGGTTGCCGTCCCTGTTTCTCCGCTGTCTTGCTCTGCCTAATTATGTGTCCGAGTGCTTTTACTTTGATGCTAATCACCTTTGCAAGGAGCTAGAAAGCAAGCCTGAGAAGGACACGCCTGCATACACAGTCTGTTCCTGGCTGGGCATGGTGCCACTGCTGGTGGGCTCTGGGATGGACAGCCGTGCCCGGAGCCGCTGGGCTCCATCCCACAGCCCGATGCTATGGGATAATCTTTAATTCCCAAAAACCTCCCCTTTACCAGCCATTCCCGTTGCACTCCCAGACACCAAGAGCTGTGGCATGGCCCCCGCCTTCCCGACCAAGAGCACCTCTTGGGTGATTCCTACCATCGCCACGTGTAGGGCGTTACTCTCCCATATGGGAAGTCTGATCTCAGCATGTAGGACGCGACACCAAAGCTAGGGATGATACCACGCCTTGGCTGAGCTGGCTGGGTCACCTCCAGGTTTGCAACCTTTGTAGGGTGGAGAAACATAGGGAAGGTTATAGCAAAAAGTCCTACCTGCGCGGCACTGCTGGGGTAGGAGCTGTTGCCATCCAGGATGGTGCGGGGCAGCACACACCTAATCTCCACGGCGTTGCTCCTCCTCTTTGTCACGTCCTCCACACGGACATGCTTTAGGGACGGGAGGCTCCCCAGGGGGCTGACGAAGGTGCCCCGGCTGATGTGAGGGTCACTGAGCTTCCTCTGCATGGGAAGAATCTCCCCGTTGTGGGTGACGTCCGAGTTGGTTCGCCGGAGAGGCCCGTAGCGATCCCTCACCTCGAAGTACTCATCTGAGATGGAGGAGGCATTGGAGCGGTGGTAGCTGTGGTCAGCAGAGCTGCTGGAGTAGCTCTCCTGGTCACTGAGAGTGATGTACTCCTCTTCCTCCTCCTCCTCCTCCTCTTCTCCCAGCCCGTTGTGGGCACAGGGAGGCCCTCTGTCCTCCTGTGGCCCTGCCACTGGCCAGTCTGGCTGGGGACGGCAGGGCTCCTCCTCCCTTCTCCCAGCCCGTTGTGGGCACAGGGAGGCCCTCTGTCCTCCTGTGGCCCTGCCACTGGCCAGTCTGGCTGGAGACGGCAGGTCTCCATTGAAGCTCTGTTGGGGTTCTCCTCTGGTTCCTGCTTCGCACCCGCCTGGTCAGCTGACGGTGGTTTTGTGTCACCCTCTGGGGCAGTGCCGCTGTCACTGGGCGTAATGACTTTGGTAACAAGGACACCAACGGGAATGGTCCTTGGCTTTGGAACCGGGGGCTTGATGTTCTCCAATGTCTCCTCCGGCGGCTTCAAGTGGTGGCCCAACGGTGAAGCGGCAAATGTTCCTGCTTGCTTTGTTGTCCAGCTGGTGCCTTCGATGGGGCTGATAGCGGGGGCTGCAGGAGCTTCCATGGGGGACTGTGGGGCCTGTCTTTGGCAGGGGGACACCAGAGGTGGCTCTTGGTCTGAGTTTTTCTTGGTGTCCATCTCCCTGTTCTTCATCATCTGCCGGTGCTGGGCACTGGCCTGGGAGATGTCGCAGACTTTGATGCGGTTCATCTGCGAGAGCTTCACGTTCTTTATCTTGGGGTCAATAATGTTGATGTAACCCAAGACTTCGCTCCCAGGCTCGGGGTCAGGCTCGACCCAGGTGGGCAGATAGTCAAACATGTTGGCTTTCTCCAGATTCAGGAGGCCGGGGTGGACGAGGAGGGAGAGGTCTGCCATGTCGCCGTGCCTGTCGCCCGCCTGGCCCTCGGGCAGGGCTTTGCCTTTGTTGTCTGTCTTCTGGTTTTTGTCCTGGTTCTCGGAGGAAGTCTTGCTGATCTGGTCGGCGCTCTTGGCCTTCACCAAGGCGTATTTAGGGTTTATCAGCTTCTTCACCACGGCATTGGCGGGGGTCACTGGCACGACGGAGGGCAGCGTTACGGGCTCAGGTTCGGGCTCTTTGCCCATGGAGATGGACTTGAGGCTCACCCCCTTGGACATGAGGTAGAGCTCCTGGAACTGCTTGTCAAACGCCTCCACTACTTGGCCCGAGAGGACTGTGATGACGTTTCGGTCCGTCCTCGCTGCAGACCAGGTGAAGCTGGAACAGAAATGCATTGGAAACTGTCTGAGTGCTCGCTGGTAAATAACACGCCTCTCCCCAGCCCTGGCTTTCCCCGGGGGTTTGATGGTGCTAGTAGGGACATGATCTTGCTGTAAACATTAAGATCGAAGAAAAAGCTCTCATCCCAAATTGGAATGAAGGGTTGAAGTCTTGAGCACACTGGAACTTGAAGTGAAAATATAAGGTATTTGCTGTGGGCCAGTTAGTTTTTCACTTTAGCGTTAGTCACTTTTCCTTTCTCAGTTTGGGTTGGTTAAGAGAAGTGACTCATAAATGGATGTGTTTTTTGTTGTGGCCAGAAAGTAGGAAATGTTTCAGTTCCATGTTTATGAAACTTGTCTTTTAGAGCTGAAAAGCTTATTGAGACTGAGCTATTTCTACCAAAGCAAGTTTTCACTTGTGCAAATTGGAATAGACTTTGGGTAGGAAATGTTTAACTGGAAAAGCTGAGGTCAATGTGAGAGCTAGGACTGGCTGTGCTTTGGTGCTTTTGTCCTTCCTTGTGCTCGTCACGTCCACTGGCAGAAGCACATGGCGTATCCCACCACCTCCGAGAAGGAGAGGTGTCCTAGTCCTGGCTGTGGGGTGGTGGGGGCCCCTTGGGTCCCACTCCAAATCTCAGGCTGGCCTTGCAAAATCATCTCCCAGGGGGAGTGAGTCTGGGACGGGGTCCTGGGGCCAAGGCCGAGCAGGGACCAGGACTTGGACCACGCTGGTCCACGTCGGTCCTTTGACCAACACCTCTATGGGGTGGGCAAGAGGAGATACCACTGATTACCTGTAGGATCCACACATGGCCCGGTCCCCATCCACAAACATGAACTTCTGGGCCAAAGCCCCTTTGAACTTGGTGGCCGAGCGCGTGAAAAACTCTGTCCCCCCCGTGCTCCGGATTCGCAGGTTCTGCAAAGCAAAGGCAGAGGCATGAGCAGGAGCAGGAGCAAAGGGCTGGTCTTCAGAGCATCATTCACCCCCTCCCGCTGATGCCCCTGCGGATGCTCTACAGCCCCTCCAAGGAGTGGGAAATGCTCTTCGTGGCCGGCTCAGAGGCGGCCACGGTGATGGGAAGATAAAATAACTTGCCCTGGGCCACGCAGCAAACCATGGACTCGGCTTCAAGAATTTCCTGTTTTGCCCATGTGTCAGGCAGTGTTTTCTACCTCTTATTGGAATAATCTCCCCAGGGAGTGGTGGATTCCCCAACTTTGGACACTTCTAAGATTCGGCTGGACAGGGTGCGGGGCCATCTTGTCTAGACCGTGCTTTTGCCAAGAAAGGTTGGACCAGATGATCCTTGAGGTCCCTTCCAACCTGGTATTCTATGATTCTCTTGAACTCGGTGCTGCCTGCATCTGTGGGTGAGCAGCGTGTGATATTGCTGCCAAACACTTTCCATCTCCTGCAATCTATGCAAATGCTACCATGGGAGAGGTGATTCTTCACTTCCTCCCCAGCAGGAGATGTACAAGGAAGGGTTTTTAGGGGGAGGTGGTGACCCCGGGACAGTGCACGTGGACCTGATGGCAGCGGGCTTGTCCTCCACCAGGTTTCCCCCTTGCTGTGGTCCTAAATCTGAGCATCTAGCCCTGTTTTTAAGGGGGGGGGGGAACCCCACAGTGGGGCAACATCTTTTCACCCTCGGGAAATGAAACGTGGGGACATGGGCCAAAATGGCACATCCCACAGCGTGTGCCTGCGGAGGTGGCCAGGGAGCGGAGCATCCCCCCGCCAGGGAGCCCGGGCGCGGAGGGGCAGCCCCGGCTATGAAGAAATGTTTTTTATCTTCAGTCTGGTTCATGCCTCTGTGCTTTTCTCTGGAGGGCACCAGCACATTTTTGCAGCTGAGCAGATAGCATCTTTCACTGCAAATGGTCTCCCTTGGGTGGGGAGAAAATATTTTCTTATGAAAGCATCTGCATTCCTCCTGTTCCTGCTGGGATGTTGGTAATGCCATTGCTAAAGGCACCGTGTCGTCACTAGGTCGTGCCCTCCATGGTTGTTTTTTTTTTTGTTCTTGTTTTTTTTTAAAAGCTTTAAAAAAAGAAAAAAGAAAAAAAAAGGCACCAAAAGTATTTGTCCTCCCCACCTCCAGCCTTCCTCATCTGCTTCCCTGGGGTCTTCTCTCTCCCTGTAGACCACCCAGCACAGCCCTAAGCCTGGGTGCGAGCCGAGCTCAGGCACTGCTGGTCCCTGCTCTCGCATGCCTGGCAGGAGGGACGGTGATTCAACGCTGTTTTTAGCATGATGCAAAAGCAAAGCCTTTTCCTGACCGGGTTTCCAGGGAAGTTTTACGCACTGAGTAGAGAAGTTTGGGGGGTTTTTTTGGTGCGTTTGATTTTTTTTTTTTTCCCTAGCGTTTGCCTTTTTGCCTGGTGTGGCTGGGGGGAAACCGGTGCTGAGCACCCCAGCGCCCGGCAGCGGGCAGAACTAGGGGTGCTGGGGGCTGGCTGGCAAGCAGGTTGGGGTGGCAATTCCTGTCCCTGTCCTGTGTTGTCCCTACACACGGGGCAGCCGAGAGAGCAGCCCGGGGTACACACCGGCCGGCTGCTTGGGTGACGCTTGCACCCAAGGCTGAGCCCTCTGCCCATCGCCAGCCTGGGCGTCCCCAGCTCGCGGCTCTCCCAGGGCGTAGGTCTCTCCCGCTCGGACCCGAACCTTTGCACAAAGGCACAAAGCAGCCATGGGTTTTTTCTCAGGTAACACCCAGGGGAACAAAGCTCCCCAGAAGGAAGGTGCCGGTTACCTTTCCCTTCCTCCTCGCTCCTGGCATATTGCTGCTGTTAAGTAAGATCTGTTTATTCAATCTCTCTTAAGACGAGCGCGCAGCAAGCGAGCGCCCAGCGCGATGGCCAACTGCCGAGCCCGGGACGGGGTGAATCACTCCCCAGGCACTCGCCATTGCTCAACGAAGTGACTGCCTTGCCCAAGCTGGCTTGCTAATTGCGAAGCGTGGAAGGCACCGAGATAACGACATACATTTCGTTAGCATCTCCTGGCTTGTGAAGCAGCTCCCAGACACTGCCCTAGTTTCCTCACAGCCTCCTGCCCTGCTGCATCCCGTGCCAGCAAATTGGCTGCAATATGTGGCAAATCCCAACTTCTAGACATTTGCCGAGCTCTGCAGATGTTCTCCTGCTTTTCCAGTCCTGCCACCAGGTTGCTAATGCATTAAAACACCGGCGTGCGTCAGCTCTGGCTTTTCTGGTCTCGGAGCAGCAGCAGTCTGCAGGATAGCAGACTCTCCGAGGAGTTTGGATGTGGGTAAAAGCTCAGCTGAGTCTGCTTTAATTGTTGTGAGCAGCAATTAAGCAGGGCTGGCAGGCTTGGAGGGTGGGGAAGGCGTGAGGCTCGGCCGGAGCAGCAATTAAGCAGGGCTGGCCGGGCTCGGAGGGTGGGGAAGGCGTGAGGCTCGGCCGGCTGGTGCTTTCGGCTCCCTGGGGTGGGGGTCCCCGAGCCCCCCTCCCCGCATCCCGGCCCTGCTCATCCCAGCACATCCAGCCCAGCGTGAGGGTGTCGTGACTCCTACGTGTTCCTGCTCAGCTGGGGGTTCGCCCTCACCATAAGCAAATTTGGCGAGCTTGCCTGGGCATAGGCCTCCCCGCCGGCCGTTTGGCAGCCAGCACGCACGGCTGGGTGACGTCAGGCACAGAGACATCGCCTTTCTGCCAAGCAACAGGCGAGGCTGAGCAACTTGCAGCCGGCGGATGAAGTACAGCCAGGAGAAGGGTGTCTGCAAGCCCCAAGGTGAAACTGCCGGGCTGCTCCGGCATGTTTGCATCCGATGCTGGTGATGGGAGCGTTGTACCCAGCGAAGAGCCCGGGACTCTCTCCTGTGGCTGGAGCAAGGGTCCCTGCTCCCGCTGCCGCTCTTGGGGCTGATATAACCCCCTGCCCTCTCCTCTGCCCCTTTGTCTTCCTCCACCTTTGCATGAGCACCGTGCAAGGTGATTTTCTCTGCACCCCCTGCACGCACAGGGATGTATAAGGGGTTTGGGGCGCTTTGGGCTGGGAACCGAGCCCCTGCGCTGCCAGGCATCCCCTGCGCTGCTTTACCTTCTCTCGTTTCAACCAGGATTCGTGCACCGGAGCAACGTCATGCGCAGCTGCCAGCACCTCGGGGCCTGGGTGAACGTGGCATGTGCAGGCAGATCTGTCCCGCTGGTGTGCTGCCAGCCGGGGCCGGCGTCACAGCTGCCCGGTGCGGGCGAGAGTGGTGAGGGCATCCTTGGCAGCTCCCAAGGCCGCGGGCAGCGTGGGTGCCTCCCTGCTCCGCTCCCGGCCCCGTTGCTGGGGCAGAGGCTCCAGAAAAGGGGAAAATCGAGTTTTTTAATTCCGGCCTCTGACTTGTGGGAAAGCCTGAAAGTGCGAGAACTGGCTGGGGGGTTGCTCCTGCCGGTCCTGCCCCTGGGGCAGGAGCAGGCATGGGGCTGGCGACAGCAGGGATCCAACCCTGGCAGAGGATCCTTCCTCTCACGCCTTCTCTCTTGCTGACTTGTTCACCGGGAGGAACTGAGCACGTCGGTTTGCCCTGGGCTTTGCAGTGCCCTGCTTGAGTCGTACCCACTCTCGTGGGGCTGCAGCTCCCTGAACACCCCTCTGCCCCAAAGCCAGCTCTGGCTGGGTACCAGCAGCCCCCTGGGCTTTCTGCATCCAGCTTTGCTGGGTGGGAATCCGTGTCCCCATCTCTCATCCGTTCCCCTCCATCCTCCTGCTCCTGGATTTGGGCATCACCTTCAGCTTTGGCTACAGGAAAAATGGACTAAACTCACCTGGCGCTGCCCAAAGCTTGGGGGTTGTGATCCCCCCAAGACAGGAGGGAGCAGGGCTGATAGCTCTGATTATCTCCCTGCGTTGGAGGAGGTCACCCGGCCCCAGACCCTTCAGGCCATCCCTACCTTCAAGTGTCCCGCGTGCATCTGGGCTCGCTCGCACATCTGAAGGAAGTGCTTCACGTTGGTCTCATCCAAAATGATGTAGACTCCCACTTTCCTCTTGAAGCCCGCGTCCAGGAGGTCCTTGAAGATGTCTACATCGGTGAACATGTCCATGACCACCGCGATGACCTGGAGAGGGAAGAAGAGAGATGACTCTGGGTAGCATGGCCGGGTGACAACCCCAAGATGTAGCTGGCGCTTGGGCGAGAGCCGAAGCAACGTGCTCTTTCTCTAGGAGGTTGGGATTAGGTGTGGGGGAGCCCAGGCTCCACCGGCTCCAGCCAGCCCGACGGCGGCAAGCAGGAGCCCTCAGTCCCATTCCTCTGCTGTCACTACGGGAGGTTTGGTCTCCGGTGGTGGCCTGTAGCATAATATACTTGTGAAAAATTGATTTCTGAGGAGCCCTCTCCCATTCCTCTGCTGTCACTACGGGAGGTTTGGTCTCCGGTGGTGGCCTGTAGCATAATATACTTGTGAAAAATTGATTTCTGAGGGTGAATCTAACTTTCTTGCCTTTAACAAACATCACAAATTTCAAAGAAGTCCAATTTTTGGCTGAAAAGTTTGGCGTCCCTTTGCTATTGGCCCCATCGTGGGGAGAACCAGAAGGGGAAACCTGTGACACAATGATGTGTCTGTCTGTCCGAGGGCACGTTGCATGGGGTGGAGTCCCACCCGCTGTCTCTGGGGATCTCGTGCATGCTTGTGTTGAGGGAAACAGTATAAAAAATAGCTAAAAGTGACTCTAAGCTTGGTAGAAAGTCTCTGGATACCCCTGAGGCGCATTCAGGAGCTGCAATGACTTTTAATATCTTTTAAAAAATAGGCCTGGGTGCGAGCTGACGAGGTTGCTTGAAAGCAGCCGGGAGTCTGCAGCTCCCAGCGCCTGTGACCGGCTGCTGTTCCAAGTCCAGGCTGCTGCTAGCAGCGATGTGGTTGGGTTCAAGATCAGCTCTCCACCGTGAGGCCAGAGCAGAGCACCGGGGGCGGGTGGCGTTTCTGTCATTGGCGCTGCTGATGTCTCTCTCGGTCTCGCTGGCTGGCCCTTGCGTGGCTGGGAGCCCTCCGGGTGCTCGGGGTGCTGCTTCTGCTGCGCAACCCCCCTGCGAGCATCCCTCCTTCCTCCCAGGCTGTACAAAAGTGGAGCAGAGCCGGGACGACGGTGCCACCGCCCCATGCAGTGACAGTAGGGTTTGGCACACGGCAGCGTCGCCGTTCTTTGCACGCTGGAGCTGCCTTTGTACCCAGGGCGTTTGCTGCCGTGGGGAGTCCCGCATCCAGCCGTGCTGGGATTTTGCTGGGATAGCTTCCTAAGCACCAAAGTTCATTCCACGCCCATAGATTTTGCCTTCCTGGAGATGGCATCATCCATGACACAGCGGTGAGCAGCAACGGTGCAGCACGAGACATGTGCAGGCAAAGGGGCTGGAGGCAGCTGCCTGCAGCCCAGCCGAGCATCTTAGTACAATCCCCGGGGTAGCAACAGGGCAGACCGCGTCTGCCTGCCCTCATCCCGCACGGGGTGGTGACAGCCATGCAGGGAAGTGGCTTGTCATCGGGGCACTCGTGCGTCGTCGTCCCATGCTCGGAAATCCATCGGTGCCCCCATCTCTGCAGCTGTTTTGGAAGGTGCCCTGGGCTGGGGGGAGATGGGTGATGGCTCCGAGCCCCTGCACCTCTCGGCTCTTCGCCCTTCCAGGAGGGCTCCACTGGCTGCAGCATGTGGCCGAGCCAGGGAGTACACCGGCATGGGAGGGTGCACACTGTGGGGTGACACAGGGAGACCCTGGGATGCTCCTCCCTTGAGAGGGAAGGGATCGGGATGGTGCTGGGGGCTTGTACACTCAGGCACATCCAGTCCAGGGCTCTCAAAGCACCAAGCTGCCTTTTAATTAATTTTGTGCCACAGGAGGTGGAGAGCTCTAATTAAGAGGATGATGGTGCTTTGTGACACTGCCGGCTCTTCCCTTCCTTTTCTGCAGGCGATGGGGTGAGGAGCAAGGCTGTGTGGGGAGCCCCAGCCCACGCCGCCTCCGATGCCGCCCCGACCTCTCCAATCGCAGCCACGCATGAGTGTTTCGAGAGGTGCCAGTGAGCTGAGTGAGGGGGGACGTTACGGCTCTGCCACTCGATTTTAACTGCATTCCCGTTTATCCTCACCCGAGAGCCTCTCAACAGGCTTTGTCATGAAAGGATAAATCCTCACTCCCTCATGCACCCGTGCATGTGTTTTGCATGTCCTTGTTGTGCTGGTGGGGAAACTGAGGCAGAAAAGCGGGTGCCCACTTTGCATGGGCTGCCCAGTGAGGGCTGCGCTCGTCTCACCAATGATGTAAAGTGGGAGAGGTTCAGAGCTACTCTTAAAGCTCAGGGCTTGGCTTTTCCATTTACAGCAAGTAATTGGGGAGGAGCTGTGCTGTCTGCTGCGAGTCCTGGGTGAGGGACGCCTGAGGTGGGACGGCGTCTCCCTGGCTCGAGGAGGTGGGTTTGGTGGCAGATGCTTTGCTCCTGTCTCTGACACTGATGCTCCCTGTGGCCGTGGTCATGTCACTTTGCCTGCACGCTGCATTTCCTCCGGGGGAAGTTGAGGGCTTATAAAATGGGGATGAGAATAGTATTGGCCTTCATTTTGGGAGAAAAAGGGCATTTTTCCACTCCGGTCCCAGCATTCCCAAGGCCTTGGCTCGCTGCTATGGCTCTGAAGACAGGAAGGTGCTTTGCAGGGACGTGAGCAGGGCACGGTGACATCCCCCATCCCAAGCACCGCTCACGTGGAGATGGCGAGCAGGCAGCGCAACGCAGGCAGTTGCCCAGGGCAGCTGGCTCGGGCAGCGGGGAGGCAGCCCTACTCTCACCCGCTTGTCCACGTTTTCAGCCCGATTCCTCCTGCTTGGCTGGTGCATCCTGTCGCCGCTCAGCGCTTCTGCTTCCCTCCCTGCCGCATCTTGCCTGCAGGACAGGCTTGGACTTGGTTTGTCACCGTGTTCTCACGCCAGCGTGCCAACACGCTGCCCTGGCACGAAATGGGCCCAGAGAGTGAGGACAGCACTGGCAGCGCTCCCAATACAGTGACTGTCCAGGGACCGCAGGGGCGAAATCTGCTGCTGGGCTGCCCGCGCTTGAACCTTGGCTGGGACTGGTTGGGTCTATGCCAAACCCAGGTACAGGGTTTAATCTGCAAAGAATGGAGGGTCTGTCTGCTCCGGAGAAGTGAAATCCTGTGTGCTATTTGCTTCCCAGCCTGGGGAATGAGAGTTTCTGGAGCAAGCCGTGCCGTCCTGCTGCGGGGAGTGAGCTTGGCACCCTTGTCCCCATCACCTCTACCAGGGCAGCGCTCAGTGCCCCGCGTGCTCGGTGCCGGGGAGGTCCCCGGCAGCAGGAGAGCTGCACCTCTTCCCAAAGCCTCTTTGCTGCTGCGTCGTGCCAGGAAGCTTTGCCATCCCTTTGCCATTCACCTGGAGGGTGCGGAGAAGACCAGCCCCAAATCTACAGCCAGATGCTCCCAGCGCCCAAGCGGGTGACGCTTTTCTTCCCAGGATCCCAGGAGCTGCCAGGATCCATTGGATGCAGCAGATGTGCGGGTGCCGGGTCCCAACACTCCGAGGAGTGGCGAGCATCGCATCCCCTTGGACACTGGGCAAATGACGTTGGGATCCTTCTGAACGGCTTTGATGAGCACATAAACTGCAGGATCATGTTTTATAGAGGAAATTATGGCTCTTTATTAGCTCACTCTGAATCATCAGATAATGACTTTTGGGGCACACCATGTGGGCATTTAATAAATTAGGCAGGCACCAAGGGCACAATTAGAGGAAGCGTGTTGGGATGAGGGAGAGGTGGGACAAGTAACATTAACAATTGCTCCCCCCTGTCGACCCTTTCATCCAGGAACGGCAGAAGGTTTTGTAAACAGTAATTAATAGGGCCTCCCAACCTTTGCTGGAAGTTGCTCAGGGTAATTATATCACCACAATCCCAACCTGGAACCTCAAATGCAGAGAGGAGGACAGACTCGCTGCTGGCTCTGGTGGCTTTTGGCCAAGGTCAGTGTTTTCAGCCTGCTCTGGTTTCTGGTCAGATAGAGCCAAAATCTAGAGAAGAAGAGAGGAGGGAGATCTTCCTCCCTACCCATCCTGTGAGCTTTGCAGCCCGAGGGGATCCACATCGAGGGAGAGACGGCCATGTCACAGCTGGAACTGGTGAAGGTCTCCAGGGTGAAGCCCGGTGGTGCACCACATCCCTGACCACCTCGTTTGTTGGCCACAGAGATGGGGATTTGCTGGGAGAGCAGGGACGTGGCCACAGGATCCTGCCTCTCTTCTCTCCCATTTATTCCCAGAAAGAGGAGGGAATCATTTGCATCCCCCGCTCCAGCTCACCTGGGTTTGCCTCTCTGCAGAGCAAAGCAGAGCCTCTGAAACTCAGCAGCGTTTGGCCTCGTTCCTGCCAGCAAGTAGGTTCACCTGCACCATCAAAGGGGCCTCAAACCTCAGCTCTTGGCTCCCTCGCCCCAGCTCTGAGCTGCTGTGAGCCTACCCAGCGTCAGCATTGCTCATGTCGGCTCTGAACTTTCCTCGGCCAGGCTGTCTGTTGGGTGAACTTTGCTCTGCTGGCCACGAGACAGCAACCCACGTGGTGGTGTTTGGTATTTGGCATCTGAGAGCATTTCGGACCAAGTATCTTTGACAGCGGCTGGAGCAAGGGTCATCCTCTGGGATGCAATACTGAAGCTCTCCCAAGCCCGTGCTCCTTCGCAGGCGGATGAAGAGCGCTGCCATTGCCCAGCGGGATGGGACAATTCGGCAGGGATCTCCGCAGGGTGGCCCAAGGGACGCTGCAGGAAGGACGGGGCATGTGGCCAGCCTACGTGACATCTGATGGAGCGGCAGCCGGACCGTCCCTCTGTCCGCTCTCGGCTTCCTCAGCCAAACCCTTTCACCTCTGAGCTGCCGTGAAGACCTTAAGCCTTGGCTGAAATCTCCGGGTGCAGAGGAGGGTGGTCTAGCCCAGTGTCCCCACGCTTAGGAGCACCCACACCAGCGGTCACCTGGGCTCAGCTGCGTGATAGCAGGTTCAGCTGCAGTAACTGTGGTCCTCGTATATGGGGTGGGAGACCTCTGGAAGAACCCCACTTGTCAGACCCTGTAACTCCTGCCATCCCCAGGCCCTGCAGACTGCAGGTTTGAAGCACTGTGCCCATCTCTATGTTTCCTGGGGGGGCCACAGGCTCCAAGCAGGCTCCTGCGTGTCACCAGTGGTGTCACCACGTCTCATCCCACCAGCGGGCACCAACTGAACCAGGAGGCAGAGCCCAGCCCCGCGCGTGGGCCATCAAGGTACCGGTGACAAGCGCGGCAGCATCAACCGCCGCCACGTCCCTGCGGCTTGGAGAGGCTCCAAGGAGAGGTGGGGATGGTGCAGGCAGCAGGGCCTGGCAGCTGCCTGACTCAACCGCCTGGCTCTGCTGAGCAGGAGGAGGGTGGTAGGATGACTCAGGAGATACCGTTTGCGTGGGGGTAGGCGGGAAGCGGTGAGTAGGCAAAGCCAGGCAGGAGCTGCAAGCCCGAGTGAGGCACAGTCGGAAAGACCCAAAGATGAGACATTATTTGTAGTGAGGGTGTTCTCCCCATTCTCCATCCCATGGGACCTCAGCCCTCCCTTCCCTTTGCCCTCGCTGCAAAGCCCTTTGGCGGGGAAAACGTCGCAGGTAAGGACAGGTCACCTCGACTTTTGCAAGGTGACAGTGGCCAGAGATGGCTCCCGTCCGCAGCAGGGCAGCTCCGATCCCCCGCATCAGCCTGCCCTGTGAGCCGGCTGGCTCGGACGCGTTGGGAGATCAGTTTTCCTGCCTGAGCCGGGGCTCTTCGTGCTCAGAGCCCCGGCCCTCTGGTCCTGGAGAGGCTCTGATGGCTGCGTGCCACCAGGCTTCCCTCTCTCCTGCCAGGGTCTGTGAACCCCAGCACTGTCCCTGGTCCCAGCATGGGGGTCCCCAGAGCCAGGTGGACCCAATGCATCCCAGCCTGTCTCCCCCTGCTCCGCAGCCACCTGGACAGAGTCTCCCTGTTTTCCTGCTGGAGCATCCCTGGGGTTGGGATGCTCCTCCCTCGGAGCTGGATTTCTCAAGGGAGCAAGACGCAGAGCTAAAAGGGCTTCAACCACCAGCACCACGAAACCAGCAGGTACCGACCCCTCCTGCACTTCCCAGCTGGAACTGGGTCACTGGGAAACACCAGCAACCTCTGCCCACCACCACTGGCCTTCAACACACACCATCATCTCCCTCCTTCCCTGGTCCTCCTGCCCATGACACCACCGCTCATCCGCCCCAACTCCCTGCTCCTCGGTTTGACGCCACAGGGAGGACAAGTCTCAACCAAAATCCCAACCCCAAAGAGGGTGAGCTGCCGTTAGCTGTGCTACCCCTTGGCATCTCCCCAGCCTTGTCCTGCACATCAGCTCATCGTTTTCCTCCTAAAGCCAGGATGAGGCCAGCTTGGAGCATCGTGGCAATCTCAGGCCAAGCTTGACCCTCATATACGTCAGCGCCAGACCAGCGGCTTTGTCTGCTTTGCCCCAGGGCTGAGTTTGGCTCCTCCGGTTCCTGCGTGTTGCCACATGCAGTCACACAGGGCTCTGGGAATAACGATCGCGGGGTGCCTGGGACTGAGGGCTCGCAGCTGGGAAGCAGCTCAACCCATTTTTCTCGCTGGTGGTTTTCCCCACAGCCCCGTAGGGACGCCGGGATTAACGATGCTGCCGTACGGATCATGGGAAGGGTCGCGTTGCTCCCAGGTGGTGTTGGACCAGGCTAACAGCATCTTCAGCAAAATCTGATCCCCAAATATTGATTACACTGAATGAACGTGGAAAAACCCCAACGCTTGACCCCGATGCCTTTGCTTGGGCAGAGTTCCCTGCAGGATGGGGATTACCTGGCTGAGCAGGACTTGAGGATCTACCCTCGGCAGAACAGCCCGGGGCAAATCCTGCCCCGTCCCCGCGGCGCACCTCACCTTCTGAGCCTGGCAGATCATCTTCCGCACCACCTCCTTGACGTGCACTTGCCCCTCGATGGGTGGCTGCATGTAGACGGTGGCGCGGGTGACCCCGCGGTAGGCGACGGTCTCGGGCCAGCCGAGGTCCAGCTGGGGGATGGAGCGGTCGGACCTCTGGGGCCAGTACTCCAGGGAGGGGGCCACATCCTGCTCATCCCCTTGGCTGTTGTGATCGCCTTCGCTCTCCCCCACGCTGCTGCTGTGGCGTGGGATGTACTCGGAGCCGGGGTCGTACGTCTCCAACGTGTCCAGGATCTTCTTTAGCTCCAGCTCGGAGAGGAAGTCCCTGATGTTCTCCTTCTTCAGGACCTCATAGAAGGCGTCAGGGCCACGGGAGGCCAGTGCCTCCAGGGCCAGGCGTTGCTCCTCGCTGTAGAAGAACTCGGGCTTGGACTCACTGGACCTCCAGTTGACGTGGCTGTCGTCCAGGCACTGCACCTGGGAGAAAGCCATGGTGACCACGCACGCCGGTACCCTCTCCGAAGGGAGCTCTGTACGCCCAGCGAGCGCCTGATGTCGACAATAAATAAGGAATTAATTATTCCCCAGTCTTTAAATACACTATTTGCTTTGCTTCGCCCTCCCCGGCTCAATGCGCAGCTGGGGAAACGTGCTGTTCCCTTCTCCGCCGGCTCCTGCCACGCCGGAGCTCTTCGCCGCCGGGGAGGAGGATTTGGTTTCTTGTTTGCTCCTGGCTCTGCGCAGCGAGCGGGCTCCAGGCAAGGGAAACCTGGAGCTTCCCACGGCCGGGGCTGTGCGACGGGGCAGAGACGGCCCCGGGTGCACATGCACCGTCGGGAAGGTCCTCTACCTCCGGGTCCACGCTCTTCTCATCCTCTGCCCTTTCAAGACAACGATAATACCGGGTAAAATAAAAAGTGGAAAACAAACAAACAAACAAAAAAAGGCTTAATAGAGGGCAGAGAAAAGCAGGATTTCTCAGACCAAACGCCGTCCCTGGTTATCGTTCCTGGAGAACTGGGTCAGCCGGTGGGTTTTGCGGCAGCGAACGTCTCCGTCAGCCTCTCGTGCATCGCCCTAGCTGGCAGGTCGATTATTTCGGGCTCCTGCCAGCGTGCAGCGCTGGGCCCGGACAGGTAACAGCAAGAAGTGAAAAGAGGAAAAGCAAAAGAGTGATTCATGGCTCCGCCCTGCCCCACCTGCAGTCACATGCTGCCTTCACACATTCCCGGCCCTGCCCGCACATTAACTCTTTCGGCTGATGCTGTCCTCACACCTCTGCCCGGCCCGAGAGTCCCCCAGGACCCTGCGGGTGCGGGAGGTCGGTGGGCGGCTGGGGAGGGGTTTGGGTGTTTGTCGGTGTGTCGGGGTAAGTCAATATTTTCCAGGAAAGCAGCTCTGCCTCATGGTTAACCCCTCTCCCCGGCTGGTAAGTCAATATTTAATATTT